AGGCTTGTCATTATCATTGCCCCAAACTAATCAAATTCACTGTTTACTTTTCCCCCAACACAGCTCCTCGTGCTGGTAGTCATTTTAGTACCACCATATGCCAAGTATGATTAGCACCCCAACAATATGTTCCATGTGGACTTCAGATAGGTGGGGAATCCCACTCCAGAATCCTATCCAGAAGGTCTGCCCTCTAGAGTCACCCCTGGTACCCACCATCTTGGTCCCAGAAAACTGAACTTGAGGCCAAGTTTGCATGCCAATTCTTCACTTGGGCATACAATCCCGGGGAAGCATATGAGTGAGAAAAGCGGAAAGCGAAGATGCGAACACATGAAGCAAATACAAAGCAGTTTATTATAGAACCAGAAACAACTTCATAAGAAAAACCAGTTGGTTGTTCATCATTTAGCACCTCTCTGGAGAGTCTGTGTAAATTCACTGTGTCTCAGAATGTCCTTCAGGGAGAAGAAGAGTGAATAATCTATCTGCTGACTCATTACCATCTCCTGCGGAATGTTTTTATTGGTTAAAGCACCCTTTGCTTCCAGGTTGTGTCACTCAGGTGCCTCTGCATCTCTGTATCTGGTCAAGTTGGACCTGACATTGGTGCTACCATGGCAATAGGCAATTGCTGAGGCCCAGTCTTGGCCTCTAGGAGCAACTGAGACAACCAGGAGTGTCAGGATCGAGGAGCTAAAGACACTGGCCCAGGCTTTCCAGGGCATCAGTCTAGGCCCAAGAGGTATTCACGTGCACATGTGTCTAGGGAGGTGCATAAGATGGATCTGGCAAGGAGCAATTACACCATGATTTAATTTCTCGCTGTTCTGATCCTTCAGTAGTTTAGTTTTTAAAACATCCATCCAGCTTAAAAATAAGTTCTTCAGATGAAGATGGCAGCCAGTTCTGCTGCTTGGACTCAAAACGAGATGGTATTTGATCTAACTCTCCTTTAAGTATTAGGATAAACATGATTTTAAAGACTTACTAAGCTATTCACTAACCTATTAACTTACTTTTTAGTAATTTTCTAACCTACCAATGTGCAGGATAGGGCTTGAAATGTTAAAGACATTATTTCATTCATTTTGATTTGAGCCCTGGAAAAGATTAGGTGAGGTCTCCTGCCTCTTTCTTTATGAAGAGCAGGGGTGGAAAGTTATTTTTCTTCTTTCTTTCTTTCTTTCTTTCTTTCTTTCTTTCTTTCTTTCTTTCTTTTTCTTTCTTTCTTTTTCTTTCTCTTTCTTTCTTTCTTCCTTTTTCTCTCGCTTTCCTTCATTCCTTCCTCCCTTCCTATTTCTTTCTTCTGAATTACCATTATCTATTAACACAAAAGGTTGCCATTGCTGAACTTGTTTTACAGATGAAGAAACAGAAACTGAGATGAATTAACTTGTCCGAGATCATAGTGAACTGGCTACTGAGCTGGGAACTAAAACCTCTTCTGACTGTAAAGACTGCTCTTTCCAGTTCTGTGCAATTTTTCAACTGTTTTATTATCATGAGGGAAAACCTAGATCTTCTGGAGGAACAAACGAATAAAAAGAAAAAGTTAAAAACTATTCCTTTAAAAGTGTGTACACAGAATGGAATAATAGACATTGGCGACTTTGAAAAGTGGGAAGGTAGGAGGGAGGTGGGGGATTAAATACTACCTATTGGGTACAATGTACATTATCTGGGTGATGGCTACACCAAAAGCCCAGACTTTACCACTATCCAATATGTTCATGTAGCACCACTGCACTTGTACCCAAAATCTATAAAAATTTTACAAAATTTGAAAATTTTAAAAATAAAAATGTGTATATTTGTCCTTTGGTATCCATGGGGAATTGGTTCCAGGACCTCCCTCAGATACTAAAATCTGCAGATGCACAAGTCTTATATAAATGGCATAGTATTTGCATATAACCTATGCATATCCTCCCGCTTATTTTAAATCATCTCTGGATTACTTATAATACCTAATACAATGTAAATGCTATGTAAATAGTTGTTATACTGCATCACTTAGAGAATAATGACAAGAAAAATATCTGTACAAGTTCAGAATAGCATAATTTTTATTTTTTAATATTTCTGACCCATGGTTGGTTTTATCTGTGGATGTGGAGCCCACTAATAAGGAGGGCCAACTGTGTTGAAGTTAACTTTGCTTTGACTTTGTCCCTGGCACTCATCAGAGTTTTGTTGTTTTCGACCTAGAGAATCTGAATCTGGAGGCTTATCATAATATAATTACTGGCATTTAACCACTCAGTGCCTCTGTATAACCTGGAATTTCCCAAGCCACGATTGAAAGGTTGCTTTCTACTCTTAATTGCCTCACACTGTGGCAATGGCATATTAAAGGCTTTTGAGATTCAGGAGTCAGCAAAGTGAAATATTGAAAATAACTCCTGCCATCCACGATCTCCTCCAAGATGTCCTCTTAACACTTTCCCCTCTGCTCTTCGTATAGAAGGAGGAGGGAGACCTCACCTAATCTTTTCCAGTGCTCACATCAAAATGTCTGAACCAAAAAGCTAGAAATATCTGTAATAGAATTTCAACTTTTTAATTGACTTTAAATTAATAAAACCATAACAAGGTAACATCCCCTGGAATTTTGACAATTACAATTTCAAAGACCTACTGTATATTTTATCTTCTAAATTTAAAAAGAAAAAGAAAAAAAAGAGAGTTTTGTAGTTCCCTTTAGTGCCATTCTGATGCTCTTTCTCTGCTTAAAATATTAAATGTTTCTTACAGCCTTAGTGGAAAGGGAGGACTTCTTATCAACACAAACTGTCTGTAATTAGAGCCGTGTACATAATCCACAGGAGGTCTGAGCTCTGGGCTTATGATCTGAGTGACCTCAAAGTGATTCAGAAGGACACATAGCAGAGCTGTTTTCCATGATTCCCTGATGTCTTAGTTTGTTTGGGCTGCTATAACAAAGCACCATAAACTGGATGGCTTATAAACACCAGAAATTAATTTCCCACAGTCTGGAGACTGGGTAGTCCAAGAACAAGGTGCCAACAGATTCAGTGTCTGGTGAGGGCCTGTTGCGTATAGACTGTGGCTTCTTGCTGCATCCTCACATGGTGGGAGAGGCAAAGAAGTTCCTTCAGGCATTCTTTATGAATGCAGTCCTCATAACCTCATCACCTCCCAAAACGCCCTGCCTCCTAACATGATTACATTGGGGATATGAATTTGGGGAGACACAAACATTCAGACCATAGCACATAGTGATGCTCCAGGGCTCACCTCCCACCCCACAACCACCACCATGCCCCTACCCTGTGGACACAGTGCCCAGAAGCCAGAAAGTAGAAGTTAGACTTGTGCCAAATGTAAGCAAGGTAACCAAAGAATGTCTAAACTTCGGGAAGCAGTAATTGGGTATACATGGAGAGATAAAAGAGGGAAAATGGTTATATGCTGCATTGTTACCAAAAAAATGAAGTTCTGCGGTGGCTGTAAGGTGTGACTGAAGAAGCTCAATGAGCTTGAAGGATGGATTGCTAGATATTTCATCAGGACAGCAGGCCATTTTACTGAGGCCTTAAACCCACAGGGCTTCTCAACTATTGTTCAGGAACAAAGTGTGCAGTACAGCAGGGTAGGTTTCAGCAAAATTGTTGATCTTAACTGGAATCCCTCATCATCCTTGCCCCCACAATATTGAAAACTCAGGAATAAAAATGGTTATGGGGCAGGTGCCAGAAAATTTCTTCTGTAAAGGACCAGAGAGTAAATATTGTAGGCGTTGCAGCTATATGGCCTCTGTTGGAATGAACACAGCTATAGACAATGTGTAAATAAATGAGGAAGGCTGTGATCCAATAAAGCTTTATTACAAAAACAGGCAGCTGGCAGAGCCACAGTTTGCTGATCCCTGATACAAGGTGGGAAGCCTCACAATCTTAGAGCTGTCTTCCTAGAGAGTCTGGCTATCCTACCATTAACTGTGAATACGGCAAAGTCACTCATCCAAAACGAGTGTTCTCTTATGGACCCAACCCCTCTTGGTCCTGGGCCTCCTCCTCATTTTTCCCATCCTATACAAATTCTTCCTGATATCAATCTGAATTCATCAAGCAAAAGAGTACTGTCCTCAGGCTAATTGAGGTCCCATTTCTGATGGTAGCCCAACCCATTGTGGTCTAGTTAGCCTCCTCTCCCATTTCCAGCAATGACTGATAACAGGCGGGGGCCTCTGTTTTTGCAGAGAGCTGGTTCAGCAAGCTCAGGAGAAAATGATTTTCTCTTTCAGTAGGAAAAAAAAGGTTAAAAACTCTAATGTTGTGTTTGCACTATATTTATTCTATTAATCCTGACCTTGAAAACTGAAAATCAACTACCATATAATCATAGCATAATTGTCTGGTAATGTCTGCCCTTGAAACAAGAATGCTGGAAGTAGTTCTCAGAGCCTGTACCAAAGTAACACAGCAAGAGATAAGGAGTCTGGTAGAGACAAACAGGAGCACTGGGTGCAAAAGAAAGGAGACTTCAGCTTGTATTCAGTGCTTCTCAATATTCCTGTGTATATAAATCACCTGAGGTCTTCTTAATGTGCAGATTCTGATTCAGTAGGTCTGGGGTGCAGGCTGAGATACTGCATTTTGCACAAGCACCGGGGAGTGACGCAGATGCTGCTGGTCCCAGGACTCACCATTAGCACCTGAGCAGCAAGGTTTAAGCCTCCAGGAGTTACATTTGGTAAGAGATAGTCAGGTGATGAAAAACAGACCTTAGAGATCACTCCACCAAACCTCATTACACAGATGAGGAAAGGGAAGCCAGGAGCTTCAGTGATTTGCCCAAGGTTGTACGTTAATGATAAAGCCTCTTGACTTCCATTCCAATGCATTTTACATCTCTAAAAACTTCTGGAAAGGATTCCCAAACAAAGATAAGAAATAGCTGGCAGAAGTTTTGTTCGGATTTTTTTTTAAGTTTTTTTAAATTTCTTTTTCATATGTGGAGATTGTGAGGCAATATTTCCAAATCAGGGTTTTCTTTTATTAATGATAATTTTGTAGTAATTCTGTAACAGTGCGTTTATTCCTCAGTTGAATCCAAGGCTGTATGAGGAAGCAAAGAGGACAACTTCATGAAATGGATCATCAAATTGTCTACATTTTGAATAATTTTTAAATACAGAGATTCCTTGATTTTGAATAATATGAAAAGCTATGATCTGATCTGAAAAATTGTGCCCTCTAATAACATGACAGATTCTTAGTCTAGAATAAAGGAGGCAAAATTCATGAACTTCAAGGGATTTCCTGAAAGAAGCTGATAAAACTATTTACGTTATCTCATGTATCTAGGAAATTTCCAAGTCAACAGTTGTAACAGTTGTCTCAGCTAGTCTAACACAGCCAATTTCCTAGTCTCCTTTCAACTTTTACTCAAAGTCGAATATCACTGCAAATAGCATGATATCCCTATATCATGCAATATGACATGACCTTAAAGGTTTCTAGCAAAAAAAAAAAAAAAAAAAAAAAAAAAAAACCATTATGTTTTTGAGCCTGCTTTATTTTAGCTTCCCCTGACATTTAGGATGAATGTAACTGGCCTATTCAGAGACAACCCAGGCAATCAAAAAACCAAGAATCCAAGCTAGGCTAAGCTAATGCTCAGGTTCGGTTTACAAGGTGTTGTAAACACTTTCTGGCCAAATTAAACTCCATCTGGGGAATTGGGGAATGATGAAGTCTGCCCTAAATTCCAGCATTCTACCTGTCCCCCTGGATCATCTTTGGAGCCCTCCACCGCGGAGCCTCACAAGTTCTTCATGAAGATATTTCATAAACATCTCCTGACAACCTCTCTGGGGTTTTGCACTTAGCTATCTGCTTGGCAGCCAGTCCTGGAACATTTGATGGGGGCTCTGCTGCTGGCCCCCCTCCAAATGGGCAGACCTGGGAATTTGTAGCCATACATTTAAATAGCTTATTTAGCTGTGCATGTTCCACATTAATTGCTCCTGCCTTCAGTTGGATTTGTGCTTGGTAATTTTCTCCTTACACAGAGAATACAGATAAAATTTGATGGGCTGTGCTGGCCCAGGGCCGGTGAACTGCAAAGCTTCCTTTCTCATTAGTAACTATAAGTGCAGAGGACAGGCAGGAATGTCATGGATCACGGGGAGCTGGTGGGGCTCCATGTTTCAGAGAGTGGGCATTGAACTTACCTGACCCATGATTCATGCCTCTTCTTTTCAGCTTCCTCCCCAGATTTTGTCCATGGGAGACTGCAGGACCTGCCAAGCACAGGATGGCCCTCTAGAAGCTTGCTTAATGATTCCAGATAGGGGGCACACAATAACTATTTTCTATTACATTCCCTGACTCCCAACAAATGGTTGAAGACACCGTCAGGGCATTGCATCAATCCTAGGACTTCTTTCTGCATGCACTGTAAGCATTCTTGAAAGAGTTGGCCAATATAAGCTCCTTGCATGAAACAGAGTTTATAATTACCAGAGAATGTGTTTCTTCATCATGCTGTGTTCTGGTTCAACAAAGTTTTAGAGTTTCCATTCTATCTCTTCTGTGTTTGACCAGGCACCCCACATCTGCCTACCTCACTCCCCACATCTATTTACCCAGACAGGTGCAGAGTGACTTCCCGAGACAACATTTTGGCCAGGACATTATCAGTCCTCTAATCACTGGTGGCAATGCCAGGCACTGAGAAATGCAAATCATCATCAACAGAGAGTTCACCTAATGGCTCTGAGCGCTCGGCTTGGGTTTAGAAGCTGCTTGTAGGTAGCTCTTTTGCATACTGTGTGATTGTGACTTAGGGACAATGCTGAAATTTATTAACAGCAAGCTTTGGCCTGATACCAGTGTCACATTGCATTAGAGAAGGTTCTGGCTTGCCTCGGTCATTCAGCCTGAGCCACAAACACCCCCTTGCTGCCCTCTGATGGATCTGTAACGCTGCTGATTAGTTTTGCCTGCATTGGTTAAGACGAAGAACTCAAGATGCCATATCTCTCTATGTGGCAGTGTGCTGGTGAGCCTTGAGGGTCAGTGGAAATGGAGGGAAAACGCCACAAGCTTCTCCCTGGGGTATATGTTCTTCATTGGATGTTAAAAATGCTAAAAAAAAAAAAATAAATAAAATAAATAAATAAAAAAAAAGGGAGTGCCTCAAACTTCACAGTCCTTCTCCTTCTCACCATCCCTTGGGCAAACCCACTCCTCTTCTTATCTCCCTTCCCTTATTAAAGTGTGCTACCATCTGCCTCAGTTATCCAAGTTAGAAATCGGGGACTATTATTCGTGCTTTACTCCTCTCATGTCTCTGGACCCCAATTAGTAACCAAGTCCTGTCCCTCAGTCTCCACAATGTCACCTAAATATACTGCTTCTCCTTATTCTCATCATCAGTTACGTAATGCAGGTGCTTAGCTAGACCCATGAAATAGCCTCAGCTGTGGTCTCCTGCCCTTGTATCCCTTTTCATCCCCATCCAGCTCAATTCACCCTTGACACCTCATTGTTTTATTCTAAAATACAAATCTGCATATGGCAAACCTCTTGTTTAAAACTGTCGGTGGTTCATATCACCTAGAGGATAGCATTCAGACTCCTCTCCATGCCATTTAAGATCTATGGTTTTCAATAGCCCCACAATTTTTTCCAACTCACTTTCTGCTGTTCTTCTCCATATTCTTAGGCAATATTGAGCTCCAAGTATATTCTTTCCCAGCCAAGCCAAACCCTTTCACGTGACCCCTTCTACCTGAAGCGCCCTTTCTCCTGCCCTCTCAGCATGGAAAATTTATATCCACTTCTCCAGCTTTTACTCAAAAAGAACATCTTTTGTAAGACTCTCTCTGATGCCTTTGACCTGTAATAATTTTTTATTTTGTTATAATCAGTACTTTATATGCCTATTACCTACCTAATGTCACACTGGGTCTTCTTAGTCTCCGAATGTCTAGCTCCAGCATAAATACTTTGCTCACTAGTATTAAGGAAAGGAGGGAAAGAAGGGAGAAAGGAATGAAGTTCATTAGCTTGTAACTTCAGAAGATAGTCTGTGCAGAAAGCACAAGTAGTATGTTTTATATCCTTTATGTGGGTAGATATCCCATAATGTTAGGGTGAACAGAATTCCAAGCTGTTAGGGAAAATGGATGTTGTGGAAATACAACCTTTCTGAACAGCAAGTAGAATTTCCAACACATTAGGTAACTGCCTCATGTGTATTGAAGCCAGGTGTTTTATTAGAAAACTATAATTGTCCCACAAATCTAAGCCCTCTAACCAATTCCAGGCCTAACAGGGTTAAAAGGTCACTGGCAAGATAGTACCATCATCAACATGCCAAGATGCATCCCCCATTGTGCACCTGGGTCAGAGGGAGGCTGCCCGGGAGATAATCACAGCAATAGAAGTGTGGTTCCAAACCGTCTGATCAAGAGATCTGGATGGAGAAGCGGGTAGAGTAGCCAAGAGAATATGCTGGTGACAAAAAAACAAGCTTTTAAGAAAGTCAAGGCACAAATATTTTTTCCTTCAGTACTCTCATTTATCCACAAAGAAAAAACTAAGAGGTTGTTAAGACAGAGGTTGGGGTTCATATTCCTGCTGGAGAATGACAATTTTAATGCCCACTGATGAAATATTTTTCTGCCAAATACTAAATATTGTCATTTTTGTGCAGCCACAACACACACAGAGAGACCCACATCATTTAACACAAGCAAAGCCTGAAAGTTAAACACGCAAAGGCATTGGAGTGGAAAGAAATATTGGGGAAGACCAGCAGGGCAGGGTGGATTATACAGCAGTCCTTCAACATGCCAAGTGTTCTCCCCGTGTGTGTTCAAGCTTGCACCTCCCTCCAGGTGGCCAGAGGATCTCTCCAAAAACCTTGCTTCAACATCCATTTCCACCGTGGAGTTTGATCTTCAATCCCCACATATCAGAATCCAGAGTATAATATAAGAGAACTGGAGACAGCACATGCTTTATTTCTAGGCCTGCTTGGCCATAATTTGTGACGCTGGACCAACACTCCTAATGTCGCTGTGTCTGTTTCCTTACACAGCCATGTGTTACTTAACAACAGAAATACACTCAGAGAAATGCATCATTAGGTGATTTTGTTGCTGTGAGAACACCGCAGAATGTACCTACACAAACCTAGATGGTACAGCCTAGTACACATGTGGGCTCTATGCTATATAGCCTATGGTATATAGCCTATTGCTCCTAGGCTACAAACCTGTATAGCAATGTTACCATACTGAATACTGGAGACAACTCTAACACAAGGGTAAGTGTTTGTGTATCTAAACATATCAAAACATTAAAAAGGTACAGTAAAAATACAGTGTTATAATCTTATGGAACCACTCTCATATATGCAGTATGAAGTTGACAAAACATCATTAGCTGGTGAGTGACTATATAAGAAATGAGAAATAAATTACATGAGGCCGTCATTTTATCCACTGAGATGACAAATGAAAGTAGCAAGCTGACAGCTAACACACAGTAGGTGTGTAATAAATTCTGTTGGTGCCCATTCCCTTCCAATAGTAGGCTCATTTGTTTAATATTTTGCTAGCATCTTTATTAGGCATCCACGCTGTCTGCTGAAATAAACAGAAAGTCATGGTATTTGACTGAGCTGATGACATTCAAAAGCCCCCACACATCCTCCTCTTCACATACATAACTGTCATGGGCCGTGCAGGCCACACTGCGTGTCAGAAAAAAAAAAAGAATTTGAATTTTTTCTTCCTTAAGTGAGATTAAATGTGAAGAATGAACAAGATAAATAAGGTCATTTTCCTCATAGGTCTTGCTTATTTAGATCTCATTTTGAATGCACGGAAACTAATCTCTGCTATGTTGAGGGTTTTTTTTCCTCACACACTTAATGTGAAATACAGCAATAAATGGATGATGTTGGTGTTTCGAAGTGTGTGTGGTCAATAGAGGTTATAAAGAAAAAAATGAAAATGCAAGGATACAGAACTATTGACTACATGAAAATCAATTCAGGGTTGACCTAGTAGCAACTTATGTAGTATCGATAGGTCACTTCCTCTTGAAAAGAAATTACTTTTTCTTTCTTTCTTAATAGTTGGGTAGTAGTAAGCACTGGCAACTTACCAAAATTAAATAATATACTCAGCTATCTGCTATGTCTAATGATACAAATGTCTTTCAAAGCAAAAAGGATTTAGAAGACAAGGATATATGCCCTGATTCTTTAAAAAGAGTTATCCCATTTAAAAGGAGAGAGAGAAAGAAAAATCTCTTATAGTGGCAATTTGATCAGATATAACTATAGTTCTTTTTCCTTGTTGCCCCCAGTCCTCATTAAGTGGCCAAAGAATATATAATATTAGAGGAAAACCTATTATCACTGATAGAAACAAAGAAATAGGAACATTCTCGTGTTAGAAACTTTTACAAACTTCTATAAGATATCTTATAGAATAGTCTGAATTGAAAAAAGACTGATATGCCCCATTCGTTTCCACCAATTAGCCACAAAGAGAATAAAAGAGGCCCTCAAATACTCTAACTGGGAGATGTGTGGGAAGGAAGTGAGGCTGGGTCTTAGGACAGTTGATTGACAAAAATAGGTTGCAAAAAATTTGTCAATCAAACAATTGATTGACAAAAAATAGCATTGCTGGGCAGGCAACAGAGACCTGGGAAACCCCAAGCAGTCAGCCAGTGTGGGAACTGAACTCCCCTTCAAAGGACAGTCACACCTAAACCCTTTCCCAGAACCACTTATCATTCATGGGACCCAGAGAAAAATGACAATACAGAGCTCCTTGTTCAAAAAAATTAAGAACTGTAAAAGGGTAACAGCAGAGCACTAAACCAAGCATGGAGCCCTTCTAATCACGGAGCCTTGTGTAATTTGCACAGGTCATGAAACCTGCCCTGCCTCCTTTTCACCCGTTTACCTCCATGACTACTCAAAATCTCACTTTCTTGATCACCCAACACCTCCCAGGTGATCACCCTTATATTAGTCTTAACATCCGCAACTCTGGCCCACCCTACCCTTGAACTATATATACTCTTTGGAGCACATGAACTATATAGCCAGAAAGATCCCCTTCCCCCATAAACTTCCTCTTCCTCTTGTTTAACCCAGCTGTGTCCTGGGGCCACTGCCTCACCTGAAGCCTTTTCAAGCTGATGCTGTTACGTTTTCCTCTCACCTCTCCCAGTGAGACATTCTCCTTGCCCCACCCTCCACTGTGCTTCCAAATAGTCTCCTCTCCACCCTGCTTAGAGGCCATGCCATGCAGCTGCCCACCTCTCCCAAGCATATAGTTTCCTGACCTCCCAGTCACACCCTGCACTCCCTCTAGACTGCTAGAATCACAGTCTATCTCTCCACCTCTACTCTCAACATCCTCGTGGTGAATCCAACATCCGAATGAATAACCTGTCCCAGATCCCATCTAGCCTATCGGTTCCTTGACTCCACACCATCCCCTACTCCATCCCATCTCCACCCCCACCATCCCAGAGGCATGAAACAGGACCATGACACAATCTCAATTTCGGGTATTCCACTCTCTCAACCGTCCTTCATGTCTTCCAATTGTCTACTTTAGCATTCCCAATGAAGAAATTGTTTATCCTCATCAAAACCTCTAATCATTGACTCCCTCCATTGTGGCATTATCCATTACCCCCACCCTGTGTCTCACTATCTGCTTGGCCCAACTTGGTTCCCATGGTTCATGATTATAACTACTCCCTGGCAGGGTCCTCATCTCTTTTACCTCTCTCCCTCCTTTATACTCATGTGGGAAAATGCCAACTATCTGCCTGTTTAATGTTAACTTGAGTCAGAAAATTGAAAGGTATCTCTGAATGAAAAGCTAAAATAATAAAACAATGACCACACCTGATTATCCTAGTGACCTTTTTTGTTTTTTAATTTCAGAACTAAAGAAAAAAATTGTGAGCATCTAAAGATAAAACATACCACTTTAAAGGAATAAAAACCAGACTGGATGATGACTTCTTCCCTAAAGTACTAAAACAATGAATTAATTCTATGTGATTTTTAAGACTAAAGATTCTGATGAGCTTCCAGTCACACATGAGGACAACAGGAAATCTCAGCAGTCCCAAGTCTCTTTGTTGTATGTCTCATACTTTCTGAAAATAGGCACACTCCACATAGACAAAAGATGAACTGAAACCAGGAAATCAGAACGGGGGAAGTCGTAGCATACAAGAAGAATAAAATCAGTAGAACAATAATTCCAAAGAATTACTGTTAATAGGATTATAAACTAAAAGTCAAAAGTAAATCTTATTTTGAGCATTAAACGTAAAATGCTTAGACCAGTGTCTCGATATGGTTGGCTATTATCATTACAAATAAATAAATGTGTTAATGATAATCTCAATTTAAAGACCCAAACTATTTGAACAAATTCAAGGAATGTGATGGGGAAGAGAGAGATGGAGTAGAAAATACAGAAAGAAAGGAAATAAAATCATATTATACTTGTTATCCTATGCCAGGTTAAGTCAGAAAATACCACTTTGTTCTTGAAGTAGATAACAGAAGCAAGATGTGTGCACACAATAGACACATACTGTACGATTCCACTCATATGAGGAACCTGAAGTAGTCAAAACCATAGGCACAGAAAGCAGAATGCTGGTTGTCAGGGGGTCTAGGGGAGGGCAATAAAGGGTTACTGTTTCATGGGTACAGGGTTTCATCTTTGCAAGATAAAGATTTCTGGAGCTTTGTTGCAAGCTACTGAACTGTACACTTAAAAATGATTAAGATAGTAAATTTTATGTATATCTTATTACAATGAAAAATAGAAAAAACAAATTTATTTTCAAGTCAAAAAAGATGAAAAGAGACTCTATCCTATTGCTATCCTTCGAAATTTTTTGTCATGATTTTGTAGAAATATTTTGGGCACTAATATGTATTGTGTTGAAGAAGTATTTAGTTGACATTTAATAATTCCTTTATAGTTAAATAAATTGCTAATTATTCCACTCAAATAAGGTTATTTTTACAACTGCTAATAATAAAAGTAGTAAATTTATAAATTTTTTAAAAAGATGTGTGTGTATGTAGCTACACATGTGGATGTTGCTTCATTTAAGGCTGTGATCCTCATTCTAGGAGTGTACATCCTGTTAACCCAGAGAGGTTTTGCTCTGTTTTGCTTGTTTTGTTTTTCTAAATGCACAGGCCACTGCCAAGCAATGCAGTGCAGCAACCCTATAAATGCTACGTCTAGGCGTTCGCCCAACTATTCACTGAATAGCAGTTTGTCTTTGCAGTCTTAAAGAAGGTATGGCTGAAAGG